AGATTAGACTAAGAAAAATACAATAGAATATTTAACCCTGGAGACCCCACGGGGTCAAATTTTGGATGTGAAATAACCAGTAGCCAATTGAATAAGCTACCCTTTTTTGTTTATATATTTGTAAATCTGACACGAAAGGAGTCAGTGCCTCACCGCACGCCACTGAGCTACGGGTGTAGAAAATTGTTGGTAACCTCTCTTACAGAAACAAAGAATAATGAAACAAACAAACAAAAACAAGAAGAGTAGTCCAAAAAATGAATGAAAATCAGTAACTGCTGTTGAATTCTGGTTTAAATAATAATCATACCTCTACCACTTCGACAACTAGTGATAAGAACAAATATTCGAAGCATTCCCACTTGGGCGACAAAATAAACTTGGGTGACAAATGCTCCACCACCAAAATAAAACAAAAACCAAACACGTTCCTTGTTTTTTGCTCACCATGTGTGATCACTAATTGACAAATGCTGTACAAGGGCCTATGGATGTGTGACATCAGTGATGTCTTCACAGAAATAAAATCACAGGAGCTGACCAAGGTTGTGGTGACAGCAGTTTATTCCCATGATGCTGACAGCAAAATGGGGATGAGTGCCATCTACGTGTCATGATTCGGTTTGGGACCAACAGGTGGCACTGTAGGGCTCTCCCTGCAGCTGCACACCTGTTGGTCATTAGGTAATTTGTGGCTTTAAAAGGACTCCCAGCCCAAGCAATCATTGTCGGGTCATTGTTGCTTTGTGCTACTGTCATGTTTGTTTGTTGTTTGTTTGCTGTCATGTTTGTTTCAGTCATGTTTTGGTCAGTGTTATGTTTTATCTTCAGACATGTGTTTTGTTTGATACTTTGGACTTTGTTTGTTTTGGATTTAGTTTTCTGAGTTTTAATACAATCGTTCAAGTACACCCTGCTCCTCCCTCCTGCCTGTTTTTTGGGGTCCACCACCACCTCGCTACGTGACACTACGAGAGCAAATGGCATTCTTTCGATTGAAACATGAGCCATTTCCACGAGGAACTTTAAAAAATTTAAACAAAACATGTCAAACATTCATTCGACTAATTCAGAGCACCGAATTAACTCAACACACATGAAATAACTAATTGAGGCTTGTTACATCCATCCTTCCATTTTCCAATCCGCTTATCCTCACAACAGTCATCGGGGGTGCCTATGCCAGCCATCAACGGGCAGTAGGTGGGGTACACCCTGAACTGGGTGACAGGCAATCTCACGGCAGACAGAGACGAACAACCATCCATGCTCACACTTGCAGTTAGGGACAATTTTAGAGTGTTCAATCAGCCTGCCATGCATGGTTTTGGAATGTGATTCAAGTGATGAGCTCATCAGCAAGCTCTGTCGAGGCCAAAACAATTGAATCAGGTGTGTTGGAGAAGGGAGTATGTGCCTCTCGAGGAACCGGATCTACGAATCTACCCCTGCCTTAGACCTGATCTGGTTGCGGGAAAACAAAAAATGAATAATTTATTTTTTCTATTTTTTGAATGAGGTGAAATTTTAGTAATTGATGGAGAGTTAACATTGACTTAATTTTCTGTCGCAACTTCAGAACTCGTCGTTGCCTTCCCGCCAAGAAATTATTTTCCAACATTATTTTCAGTCCAAACCGCTGGCGGTTTGCAAAGCTTTTATTTTGAAGGTGGTCAACGGGGCTCGTTGTCGGCAGATTTCCGTCATGCAGAGTATCAACAATTGGTGGCTTGATAGCAGTACGGTCCTGGGGCGCGTTGAGGGATAGACAACCCTTGACGAAATTCTCCTGAATTTGTCTTCAACGTGCTCAAGCCTCCACCCGGGGCGTCCACAATCATCTCGCTGGACGAAAACATCTTTCGTTGAAGCTTCCTGTCCGATTAAAGTCGTCTCGGTGGACATTGGTGTTTCTCGGCCTAGTTTAGCTTCGGTTAGCTTGCTAGCCGCTAACAAAGAGGCCCTCGTGCTCAATACATCGCTGCACGGAGATGGTAAGCGTAAAGTGTTGTCGCAATTTTCGCACCATGTGCACAAGAAGGACATCAGAATACGAGGAGGAACTTTGTGAAGAAAAAGAGGACCACAAGGGACAACGTCAACTGCTGGACGCCATTCGCAGGATGCAGCCAAGAATTGTTCTTCACAGATTAGGTTGGGTCACGCTGTTCGTCTCACTTGTTTCGTACTCTTTCTGAACATCCTTCACATGCTGTTTTTCTTGTCCGCAGTGTGTGTGTGTGTGTGTGTGTGTGTGTGTGTGTGTGTGTGTGTGTGTGTATTGAAACATGTCAAGTACAAGTTTCTTGTCAAATTCATCCATCCATTTTCCGATCTGCTTCACCCTCATGGGAACTAGTTGCCAGCCAATCGCAGGGCACACATAGACAAACCGCCATTCCTCACAGTCACACCTCGAGACAATTTAGAGCAGGGATCGGGAACCTTTTGACTTAGGGAGCCATGGAAGCAAAATATTTGGAAATGTATTTCAGTGAGAGCCATACAATATAGTGTATTTTTAAAGTGAATTCAACAAAATGTCAGTGTAATACGCCTCTGAATGTATTCTTTTCAATAATTGTGTTAGGCGGAGAAAAAACTAAAGACTGTGTTTCCGGCAACGCGACCCACTGAGAATTTCTACGTCGAAAATGCCCACAGTAGTTTTTTTTTTTTTTTTCAAACAGTCCTCTACATTGTTGTGTAGAGGGTATACATCGGTGCAAACTCTCACGATATTCACGTTGCGCGCCTGCGTCGTTTGCCCTGTCGTCTGACAACAACATTGAATCATGGCGGCGGCCGCGATCTCCGATGACAGTTTAAACCGCGTTTTCTGTGTTACAGTCGCATGCTCGCACCATAATGTGAAGAAAATAACATCCACAGGGATGAGATTTTTCCGCTTTTTGGCGGAATTCCGCTTTTTTTCCAGTAAAAATGGGCCTATTTTATATTGTTTCAAATCCGTAAAAAAATGCGGGGGGGGGGGTCTGGACTTGTCTTCGCCAGATTTGGGGCTCGTAATGTTTACAAGTCACGTTTGCAAGCATCCATTTTGAATCCCGTTTTTTATCGCGAAGCGTTAGTTAGTCGTTACTTCCTATATGGGCTAAAACCAATGTCTTACTTCTTGTGATTGGTCGCTATATCAGCGAATGCAAATCACAACCAATCCGTGGTCGCCTTCCAAAACCCCTTTCTCGCGAATGCCGAATGTTATCGAGACTCGCGACGAAGATAAAGTGCGTCAGAAAGATGCGGATCTGAAAATCACGTTTCGATGGGACTGGTTGGATAGAAAGCTGACGGTGTCCCCAGTAGGAAACAGTAAAGAGGAACCATTGTGCTTGTGTCGGATTTCATGGAAAAAGCTCGATGTCGCCGGTAAAGCTCTGTGTACAGTGTGCGACGATGTTATTCTATATGGATCGAGAGGATGGAAAGCTTTACAGCAGGGGTGTCAAAGTCAAATGGACGGAGGGCCAGATAAAAATTTTTGCTGCAAGCCGAGGGCCGGACTGATCGAATGTTCATTGAAAATTTTAAAAATGACCACATATTGTTTATTGAACCAAATTTAATTGACTGAAAACCTAACAAATACATTCCAATACGGTCAGATAAATAAAGCAACATTTTTTTATGGCTACGTCAGTAAACTTTAATTTTCAACAGGCAAAAAAAAATTTCCTTTGTATAAAAATACCCATAACATGAATGAAAAAAGCCGATATTATTCAAGGCACTATCACTAGTCCATATTTTCTCTTTTAGCAAAAGTAGGCTAAATTTACT